CAAGAGTTCTCTAAAAAAGACATTACACATTAAACGTTATGCATATCAAATGAATTAATAGTGCAATGCCTTAATACTTCCAATACTTTCTTTGGTGAGCAGTTGGGGATTATCAAGGTCTTCACTCAGGTGAAGGTCGAGCAAGGTCAAGAAAGATTCTAAACGCAATATCTGTGATCATGAGAAATCTTATTTAATATAAGATTATATACTGTATGTACATCACCCTGCATCTCACAACTGGCAACCCATTGAAGCTAAGCAGGTGTGAGCCTGGTCAGTACCTGGATGGGAGACTCCTGGGAAAAACTAAGGTTGCTGCTGGAAGAGGTGTTAGTGGGGCCAGCAGGGGGTGCTCACCTGCAGTCCATGTGGGTCCTAATGGCCCAGTACAGTTACGGGGACATTATACTGTAAAAAGGCACCGTCCTTCGGATGAGACGTAAAACTGAGATCCTGATTCACCATGGTCATTAAAAATCCTAGGGTGTTTCTCAAAAGGTGTAGGAGTGTATGCCCCGCATCTTGGCCAAACTTTGCCCTGGCCTTTACCAATCATGGCCTCCTAATAATCCCTATCTATGGTTTGGCTTCATTACTCTGCTCTCCTCCCCACTGATAGCTGATGTGTGGTGAGCATTCTGGCGCACTATGGCTGCCGTCGCATCATCCAAGTGGGGGCAACTCATTGGTCGAAGGCACTTTACCTGTAATGTGCTTTCAGTGGAGTGTCCAGAAAAGCACTACTTAAGTATAAGAAATTATTAAATTATTAAAAATGATAAAACATTAGTGTCAACAAGGAAGGAGTAGTAATTATTGATTTTTAGCCCATGCAGCACCCAGATATATTTAAGGGAGAGCTACACATTTTCATTCAAAAGTTTAATACAGTTTCATCATTTTACACAGCTTCGGCACTGTTCTCCTCAGTTTTGCCTTTATTTGAATGGAACCTTTTTTATGGTATCATCATGATAGATTGCAATTTTCTGTTACTGTCAAAGAAGTAAATCAAGATTGCATTGCCATCGGCCCAACATCACCCTTAGCCCCACTCATTTCTCTGATTTCCCCCTCTTGTGATTTGAGACACATAGTTATTTTCAGTGAAAGAGGTAAAAATATGGGTAGATCTAAAACATGTCAGATGACTAGCTGAATAGTAACAAAGAGGGAATTATTGAGACACAGCTTAAAATGTCATAAAATTATTGCATGTCCTGTATATATAAACTACAGTTTTATAGTTTTCTAATGCTTTACAAGTAATCTGTCTGGTCTGTACTGTTCAGGTACTGAACATACTTTTCTTATTAAATTGTTGAGATGTCAAATTACGTTAATGGCATGTGAGAACACTCTTTTCCCTAGAATGCACCACCGTTTTGTCAGTTTTTCATTGACTTAAATCTGTGCTATGCATCCATTTGTAAAGTACCCAGGCAGTCAGTCTTTTCACCTTCACCGATGGTGTTCATAGTGGTTAGTGCAAGTCCTTTTGAGAAACAATCCATCATAAATCTGGCTCTATCCAACGCAATTAATTACAGGAATTACAGAGGTAATGTATTGATCATGCTTGTTCCTGCTACAATACAATTATTCAAAACATCCATCAGCTCTTCAGATACCAGAACTTAATAGATGTGTGATAGTGAGGGAAATGTAAGAGTACAAAGCCTATGGAATTTACACTACGCACACCACCAGTTTAATGAACCTAATTGCAGGGTCAATAGACGGGAAGCCACAGATACTAGATGCATGCGCTATGTGAAAATGGATTAACCTCTTAGTGGCAGAGACCCATTTAGCCAATGTCCGCCTGGAATTTCCACCCCTTAAACATTGTTATATCTCTGCAGTAGAACATAGCAGGAGCCGGGTTCAGGTCTTAAATTGAAGCTAACCCCCTTGGCTTTGAGTGTGAACAGACAACTTTCTTATATTTCTTAATGTTTCCACTCAGCAGACAAACATATGAAAAAAACAGCAGGTGAAACAATGTTGTTGTGGTCTTCAGAGGTCATCATTTTCCATTCTAAGCCTGGGAATGATTTGAAAACCTTGTTCTAGGTGACTACTAGCTTGGATAAAAATCTGGGAAAAATTGATCAATTAGAAAAAAAGTCTACATCATGTTTTGTGAAGGCTGGAACTGGAATGAAATTTCATGGATATAATAAAAAATCATAAAAATGTTGAAAATAATAACAATAAAAACCACTGCAATGGCTATAAAACCTTTAGACACTGCTAGAGAGCTTTTATCTGCTGTAATGCAATGGAAAAAAAACCTCTGAGTTGCCTTCTGGTATGAAAAAAAGGAGCACTGATAAGAAACTGATTAAAAACGGATTGATTACCCCTTCTGAGTCAATGATTGACAGCTAAAAGGCTGGTGGAATGCAGCCTGAGGCTTCTAGAGGAAGTCTTACCCCCTAAAGGCTCTGAATGGCTAAAAATACAATGAATGACAGCGCTTTTTACCAATCATTTCGCCTTATTTCTGGCGGTCCTGCTTCAAACATTTACTACAAAGTCAATAAAGTTCAATAGCCTCCAGGTCTGGAGATAAGCTAGTCTAGGCTTCTGTGGATATATATCAAGCTTCAGAATAAGGTAAAACATGTGATGGATATATATATATATTTGTTGCTGGTTTTTGCTTTTGCAGTTATGTTTTGCTGGCTTATTAATTACCTTATTGATGCATATTGGAAGTTTGGAAGTGCATCATCAGATAAAAATGATTATCTGATGAAGCACTTCCAAAAGTGACTTTGTGATCTATCGTTTTGTTGGTAAAAACTATTTAAAATTAAGAAGGAATCAAAGGTAGAGATTGATTACACTGTGGACGTTAACAACCATGCTGAGGATAGCACACATGTGACCATATGAAAGTTTTTCTACAATTTCCAGGGTTTTGTGAAGCCCTAGTTGAACACTTTTCGATTGATAAAAGGTTTTCTGTGAAGGTTTTGTGATTTTGGTGATATAAAACAATGAAGTGAGTGAACTTTTGAGGCAAGTTTTTCTTAAAAAGTGGCGTATAGGCGCACGTCCATCCAACTGTCAACCACATGAATCACAACTCATTAATGACAATAATTCTTAGTAGGAGGCAGTCCATAGTGACTGCAAATTGTTTTGCAAAAACTGCAAACCTGTTTAAGAAAATCACAAGATTAAATTTTGCCATACAAAACAAATAACCGATATATATACAATGTATAGACAAATATTGTAAACTGAGCAGCACTTACAAGATTGTCATTGTAATCATAACCCTGCTAACATTAAATAAGAGACTAATTAAAAGTGGGTAAGATAATTTCGATGAATTCAGCGTATTTTGCAGATAACTTTTAAAAAAAAAATTTCCGCTTTCTCTATCAAATTGAATACATCACCTCTTTCTTGCAAGGGTTTCCACATCCTAAATATTTGTGATTAAAAGCCAAGATTCCGAAAAGGCATTTGTAAAAGAACATATTTCTGAAAATCCTCCATCCACTATAATCAATTAACGATATTAAATAACAAGTTAGAAAAACAAAATGTGTGCAGGTTTAACTTATAATTCAGTTTATTAAATGCTTTCCATAGATTCTACCAATTTGTATCCTAAAGCAACAATTCAATAGTACTTGAAATTTTCAAAGCTATTCTCTTAAACTTGTAGTCTTGAAGTGTAATTTCTTGCAGTTCTCTTTCTAATTTCTCCCTGCAAAAGTGTCCTAGTAGAAATGTGACAGATAAATACTAAAAGAAAATATAAATTCTCTACTTAACTTAATTCAATAATAAATTACTCAAGTGCACATGTATTCTATTAAGGAAATGGTTCTCAAACGTTTGCTCATTTCACAGCCTCAGAACAAGAGATGCTGGCATTCTTATCCAGTCCTGTAAAGCTTTTTTCATAGCATTTTCCTAAATATTTTTTTTTTGTAAGCACTAACCGTTAGAGTACCACAACATCCCCAATGTACAGCATGTGCTGGCCCAACTTCCTCACAATAAACCAGTAATTAGCTAAATCCAAGAGCTAAGAATTACAGAATTAAAAGTGAGTTTAAAAATAAGCAAATTCTGCTCCAGAAGCTAGTTGAGGAAGAAATTCTGAACACTTACAAAACTGAAAGCATAACATTTTAGGAAAAAAAACTGAAGTGGTTAGCTAAAATAAGGTTCCCTGTTGAAGTCTAAGCCCTTCCTGTAAAAGCATCCTGAAAATGGAGGCCACATGTGCAAAGGGCAAAACTTTCAGAGTCCCTTGAGTGGATTTATAGACATTATTATACCACGGTATCTCCCTACAGACTGTAAGTGACACTGCTATATATAATAGTGTCTAATGCTTTGAACTTGTTGCAATTTTTCCTGTCACTCAGTGTGAGCTGGAACTGGCTGGGGCACAGTGTAACCATTCAGAAGCTAAAGATAGTAGAGAACAGCTGGCTAGATTTGATATTTTAGTGCTGGGGTGGGATGTTGTTACACCGTTTGATGCAAAGCAATGTTAAATACATTGTCAGATTTAATTTAATTCCTTGAATAAGAAAACACAATGCTAGGGGCATTGAAAACGCTCTTCACCATGAAGGGGAAATGACAATTTGACTGTTTTTTTTACCAGTCCGATTATTCAATTTTTTCTGATTTTGCAGTAAGATGTTTTCTACTGGTATGCCACTTTATTCTCTGAAAAAATGTCTACTGTGACAAAATCGAATTATGATTACAAATAACACGTGGCATAAAAACTGAACGTGAAATGTTCTTTAATACTTTTCTGTTGAAATTTAGACAATGCATATATTAATTTCTTCTTCATTTGGAAATGGCTGTGAGCACTGAAAACTTTTTTAATAGCAAACTGCAATTACAGATTGTGCAAAACAGTATTTCAATTCAAACTGTAGTAACTAGACTAGTGAGGTAATTTTCAACATGTATGAGATTTTTTATTAAAAAAAACTTCTGCTTACCATAGTCTGTGATTTTGCACGATACCAAATAAATTTCTTTGAGACTTCGACCTTCCTTGGCTATGATTTCCACACATCTGCAAGACAAAAGGAAAACACATGAAGAAGTAGCCTTATAAAAATAATAAGAATTTTATACATTTTGGGTAAGATGGATTATAGCCATTAAAAAAGCATGTCTTTGGAAATTCAGCAAGATTTCTTTGGATTTAACACTCTGTATATTTCCTAAATTTAAGTCATTTTTAAGCATTTAAAATAAATCCCTTAACATAAATTAAAATTAAATTGCAAATTAAACACATTAACATGTCAAAACAATATGTAAGAAAATCTGTATTCAAACATTCTGCCAGTCTCTAAGACCTCAGCATGTATATCATGAGTCCATAGCAGATGCAAAATAAGGACTACTGATTGCTTCCTCAATGGTTTATTTTGAACTATTGTACATCTTTAAATACGTACAGCATATAATTAAAGTTTAACATTTGCAAGAGTTTTACAGTTGAAAATATTTAAATAGGGGACACAGAAGAATGCAAATCTAAAGCACACTTAGCTATGTCTGTAACTATGTACATACAGTACAAACTACAGTATGTAATTAAAAAGCTCTGATTGTATAAGTGAAAGAAAAACTGTTCATAAAAAAGTTTTGGTATTCATAAAACAATAACAAGAAAAAATAAAATCGCATTTAAAAAACAGATAGTAACAAAAATATATTTTTCTGGACTGGCAAACACCCAGTAATGTCTTTTTTCCCCAAATACTCTCCCTATCACCAACCACCAATTTCTGAAGAATATTCAAAGTTGTCTACCAACTACTATGTTGCTGTGTGACAAAAAAACAACCAGTAATCAAAACAATATTTTATACCCATCTCTATTTTAAAAAATGTTTCACTAATGTCACCCATGTCTGTTGAGCAAACGCTATAGTTTTAAAACGTAGCTGTATCGTACCCTGCACATGACAAAAATCTTCTCTGATGATCCCGTTAGCTTAAGCAACCAGTAAAGTAATGCCTGAACCATGAAACCCGAAAATCAAGTTTGATTTTTTTACTTTCTAGGAGAAGCCTGGAATATGACATTAGTGACAATTGAAGAGAACTAATGAGGAAATATGTCTATGGTTGCTTGCAAAAAGAGTGGTCCACAGAGATCTTGTTACTGTTTGCCACACACTCAAGGGCGAGGCACAGCTAATTAGAACTGACATCCTTCAGTAACACTCACACTTTTAAAGCCTGCCTAAATCACTTTTGAGGAGCTGAGGTAAATGGAATTAATGGAAGAATCTGAAAACCGCAATGCTACACACACCTGCGTCCTTCACCCTTTACAAAATTATTATCCTTCCCACCCCAACCCCCCAGCATAATAGACGTTCTTATAGAAAAAGATCGAAATGAAACTAAAAAAACAGAAAAACAGTTTTAAGATGTGTGTTTTACTGATTCGGTGCATTAACAGCATTTTACCAAGGGGACCCACCTGCATGTAGTGAAACCTATGAAAAATTATCTATGTTAAGGATATATTCAAATACACAAAAGACTGAATTGAAGTCAAAGAAATGATGTCGCTAAAAACAAAAAAGGTAGCATTTCAAAAGGTAATGCATTGACTGCAAAAACTCTCTAAGTGAAAGAGACAAGAGCTTAAATGCTAAGATAGCTGTAGAAAAAAAAGTATGTAGTTTTACTAAAATACAAAAAACTATTTTGAAAATGCCATGCTTTTCAAAACCACTGAGCAAAACAGAACAATATATATATTAGGTGGGTAGCTGCGTCAGCATGCGTAGGCTGCAAAGGAACAAGTAATAGGTTTATTCCATGCTGAAAAAAAAGAAGGAAAAGAACACAACGTTTCGGCCGTGGAGCCTTCTTCAGGTGTGTGTATAATATATATATATTTATTATACAGGTCATAAACATTACCTTGCAAATGTATCAGTTTTATACATACACATACATTTTTGGTTATAGCCATAAATGTTCCAGTAGAAACTGCAGCTGAAAATGTCCGGTGACATTTGGCTATTGCACGTTTTCTTGGTTGAAGCCTATTCCTATAAAAATACTTGGAAGTATGTTGGATACTCATGACTTGAGGCCTCCTTAGCCAATCAGACAACCTTAAAGAAGTTTCCATGACGACAAATACACTCTACAGCTGAGCGATTAGTTCTAGTGCCACAGCTGAGGAAAGCAAATGCAGAAACGGCTGTTAAAAATCATGTCCCTGACAGAGCAACATTGACCACAGAGAACACAACCCTGGGAGAGGAGACAGGATTGGGTGGATTGCTTGTATGTTTATTACAAATGTTTCTGTTAAAGGAAGATCCATTCAAAGAGGTTTCTTCATTTGTTGCATTTCATGAATGTAATAAAATCAGACAATTGTGATACATCGACATGATGAAAAATGTCTTCTCTGGTGAAGGGGTTCATAATGGCAGACCCTCAGCCATTACAAACCACAGGGTAAAATGGTGATCAATGTGAAATGAATTCTGTACCTTTTATAAAGCATGCAGGTCATGTGTTTAAAGTATGTGTATGATGCTGGTCAGGACATAAGTAGGAATAGTACTGAAAAGCATGATTTAACTAGGAAAAAATCAAACAAAATATTTAAAGACAAACTATAGTTCTCTGATTATTTTAAAGTAATAGTTAAGTAAATCTAATTATTTTCTCATGTACATTTATATCATTCACATTAAGTATGATTGTTTCACATACAGCAATTTCACAACAGCAAGCAGAGCAATTCAATGCTTTAATGACTCAAAGCTATTAAATGTAGGACACTTGAGGAGATGTTTCAGAAATAGTAGTTGAGCAATTGGAAATCACATATGGAAAACCACGGACTACTGAAAGTTAATAATAACTTTAGAAATGTTTAAGTACAGTATAAGCTGATGGAGACATCAACAAGACTGACACACAATGCTCGGCTAACTACAAATACAGGAACTGAAGCTTTATGTCTCCTGTTTTGAGCTAATGAGCACATTGAAATGTATTTTAATGTGTTAGTCTAAAAAGACTATACCATCCAGTCTTTCTTCCTAGTCATAATTCTGCAAAGGTTCCTATAACTACACTCAGAACTTTATCAAAGTTTGTTCTTTTTAACAGAGTGAGTTAGTTTTCATGGTTTTAAAAATTAGGGGCCTATTCTGTAAATCAGTATTTTGTTTTTTTTTGCACATCACGCATGAAGACTTTTGATAATCATCATCTTGAATCACTTCCTTACTTAAATGTCTGTGAAAAGCAATAAAAAGAAACCTACTAAAAAGAAACCCTACTAAATACAGTTTCAGCAGGATGGATTTTTGCAGTGATCAGGAAACCCAAAGCTGATTCAAATATGAATTTGAAAAGATGTCAATGAACATAAACTTTTTTAAATGTTTGATAGCCTACAAAGTTAGCTCTTACATTTCATTTTAACTCTGAAGGGGTGCTGTCACTCAGATTTATTCACCAGTCTTTCAAAAGAGTTCACTGAAGAAACTTTTGACAGAAAGGTGTGACTGATGGCTCAAACTGACAAGAGTTTGTTCATTTTTACCTTTAACAGTGACACACCAGTGTCAAGAAGTTGGTTGTGCTTAACATCTAGGCTTGTAAAGGCAAGAGAGGAAGGAAATAAATTTTACTTGTGAACTCAAGAGTCCAACACTTAAGGCAATAAAGGTGTTTGGACCGTAGACTTTATCACTATTTTTTCAGTTTCAACAAACCTAATAGTTTGCAGCCAATCCAGAAAGAAACATCCTTTAAAAAAAGAAATGTTCACGATACAGACACATCCAATGACATATTTTCATTTGACATTTTATGGTTATACCGCAGGAATGCTAATTCAGACAAAGGAGCCAGAAAATCGTGAAGTTAACTTTAAAATGCAGCAAAATATGGAAAAAGTCAATGAATTGCTCAAGGGCTGATTAAGTTGAGAACATACAAGGTCAGACTTACTTGTTAAAGTTTTAAACCTGCCTCCAGTATAAAACAGAAGACAGGACAGTTCTGAAAGAATTCAGACATTGTTTAACACTTCAGCAGAAGTGCTTTCTTTTTCAGCTCTTGCTGTAAATTCTGTTTAAAAAGTGGCAGCTGAGATTCAGAATGGTTAGCAATGTATCCAATCTAAAACTACTATTTAACAATTGTTTTTGCTGTACAGGTATGTAGTGTATGTTAACCGTCTTTGGGCAAGAGGGCAAGTAAAGATGTACAGCATGAGGACTAAATAAAGGGGGTTCCTAAAAATCCACTCAATTAAATTACCTTACAGTAAATCATTAGGACTGCCATATTAAAGAAGCAACATTCAACAGCTACCAGGCCATTCATTGAGGTTATTTAACCTCCACAGGAATGGACCATAGCATAAATATTGAAGAGAATGAGAGAAGAAGGGAGAACATGCTGTACTGTACCATCACCTTCCCTCTTCTTCCTTCATATCTGTGCTGCAGAGAGCTCCATTTTCCAAACAGACTTGAAACTAGAGTCTGTCCAGGCAATCTGAATCCTGAAACATGTACCAGTCTCTGAGCTGAGAGTTTCCTATCTACGTTATTTTGACGTTCTGATTCCTTTTTTCAGGGGATCCTCAGGCTAAAATGGGCTCTCCACTTGTAATGATATATAGTTTCAACAGGCAAATTAGTTTACATTCATTTGTGAGCATCCATGTTTTAGAAGGGGAGATTTGGTTTTAGTTGGATTCAATTTATTAGAACACACGTTGTATTTGGCCTATTAAGGTGATGGTGGCATAAAGTCTATAAAGGTATTTCTATGGATTTTGTATGAAGAAGTCACGACTCTGAAACCCAATGATTACACATATCTGTCTAGAGTATAACCATTGTGTGTGTTGCATAGTTAATAATTGCTAATAAATCTTTGAATATGGACTTGATTATTACTGTATTATGATAAAAGATTATAAAATAACACATCTTGTGTAATGTTTATTATTCCTTGACCTACAAGGTGAAATTCTTAATCTTTATTAGTTGCTTGCACAGC